TGCTGATTATTAGCAGCCTATATGCCCCATCTTATTTCATATCTATGATCCTACAAACAAAATTAGGGAAAATAATTGTAAAGGTGATAAAAACAACTCTACTGGCATAGTCTATTCATTCATCTCTTCCCAGATGAGGCCTCAGGAGCAGGCAAAACTTTTGCTCAATTCAAAAAGAGAGGTGGATGTGCTTTCTAAAAACTTTCTTGCTTGTCCCCAGGATTCCAAGTTATGGCAAATTTCCCTTTGGACTTTTATCTAGCTCAGTACATTTCAGGTACTTACGTATTAATGTTATCCCTTTGGTAAAGAACCATACCAACGAGGTTATGAGCCTCTGAATGCTCCATCCATGTGCAAGTCACCTGTGAGTTGTAGTCATTGTAGCACTTCAAGCTTTTCATTGGGATACTCTCTGGGAAAGGAATTCAGGCAAAAAAGATGCAGTGATTAAAAATATAAATGTTGAGAGGTAACAGGAGGTACAGAATGGGTAAGGCACTGATAAATATACTCTCCTCTTGGCACCAGAAAATCACAGACTCATAGATATGTTTGGTTTGGAAGGAACCTTAAAGATCATGTAGTTCCAACCCTCCTGCCATGGGCAGGGACATCTTCCACTGCACCACTTTGCTCAGAGTCCCATTCAATCTGGCCCTGAACATCTCCAGGGATGGGGCATGACTCCATGGAAATATGTGCAGAGTTGTGACCATTCTGCACACCTCCACAACACACAAGTGTCCAAGCCAAGCTACAACTAACAACAATTAAGTGAAACCTTTTTGCCTGCAAGGCATACAGCTCTAGCCAAGGTATCACTTTTCAAACACTGAGTATTTTCAAGGATTAGTAGATACCATGGTCAGCAGACATATGGTGATCATTTCCTCCTTATGTGTTGATATGTGAACTTTGCTACTAACGTCCTAGTAAAGTGTATAATGCTAGAAAGGGGTTTTTTTTAAGTGAGATGCTCTGGGAATAGCCTTGTTATGACTCAGAAGAATGTCCAAACTAATTTGTTGGAACTGGATTTGTGATCCAGAGATGGTCAGACTTCTCATCAAGGGTATTTTTTTCTAAAGTTCACAACTGTGAAGCTGAAAAATACAGACTGCCTCTGGCACATGCACTATGAAGCAAGCTGCTTCCTTACCCTTCCTAATTTTCTGTGAAGGTAATACCCATGCTGAACTATTAGGATATTGCACCTTCAGATGACAAAGATGACAGTGTGCATACATGTGTGTGCTCTCTCAAATAATATTTCTTGATGAGAGCTGTAAACAGCTGGTTTGAAGGGCTTTTTACAGGAAAAAACCCATCAGAACAGAATGATGCTGTCTTAGCAGGCATAAGATGGACCTTACTTTGATCTACTGAAAACCAGTACAAAGTTCTACTGCATTTCTTGCATAACCAGAAAATGGAGCATCCCACATAGAAAAGGATGGTCTGAATGTGGGGCTAAGGCTCAGAATGCCAAGAACCCAGTCTGACCTACACAGTAACACATTTTCCCTCAGAGACCTCAAAGGAAGATATCTCGTAATTGATGCTGAGCCAGGCAGCACAACTCCTCCAGCTACTGCAGACATGAGGGGCACAATTCCTGACAACAGTCTTTTCCTGCTGTCTTTAGGATGGCTACAGGCCTGGTCTTGTGGCAGGTATGGTGTACCTCCTACTCCCAGCTGTGTTAAACCAAATTTGAGGGCAGGGGAGGACAGAGCATGGGGAGGAGAGGACCGGACAGGACAGGACCAGACAGGACAGGAGAAATAAGCTCTCATTTTGTAAGAAATGAAACTCAAGCAATGGATATGGCAGATGGTCTCTTTATCTGTCAGCTATTCCACAAGAAGAAAATCAGGTCATCTGCATTTTGCTCTTGGTAGCCCCCACCACACTGTCTTGTGTCTGGCCATGTGCCTCTACTCCTGTTCACTACCATCTGAATTATGCAGCCCTTCATTTTCCTATGTTTTTACTAATTATCAGGGTCTATCCCTCCTTTCATTCACTCATTATCCAATCAACTTGTTCATCTCATCCATTTATACAATATTTCACCTGTCCATACCACCAATATACAACTGATTTGGCTGCACATGCTCCTGCTATATGCTGGTTTTGCTCAGGATGTCTGTTCTCTTCCAGCTTAGAAAACAAGAGAAGGAAGCAGAAAAGCAAGCAGAAAAGGAGGAAGAGCATTAGCTGAAAGAAGGAGATATATATAAAAGTAAAGGCAATAATGGAAGGATAAAAGAGAATATAAATTTGAATCTCACCTCGAATAGCTTGAACACGGAAGTCCAAATACAGATTCAGCAGCAGGATGAAAATCTCTTTCATGTTCATATTGTTTTTGGCACACAGGCTTGATCCTAACTCAGAATTTCGCGGTTTTCATTGCCCACTAGCTACTCCCTTGCCCTGCTTACTGTGGAGCTGTTTGTTTTCGTTTCACATAAAGAGAAGTAAAACTGAATAAGGGAACTTCTTTAAGATCATGTTGAAGTGGCATTCAGGAAGAACTTCTACCAAGCATTTCTTGTAGAACAAAATCCACGTCTTCTCGTCGTGTGTAGTTGCAATGCAAGCAAAGAATGAAGTAAATATACGTTTCCAAGGAAGTTCAGAGATTCAGTCAGTTGAGTAGCAACAAGAAAAAATTCCTAATTTGTGATGAGAACTCATCCTTAAAATTAATTTCGTCCTTCTGTTCTTAATGCTTAAAGCCTTCCTAATGAACCACAACAGCGCTTAATTTCCTTAAAAATATTATCTCAACCACACAGTTCCTAGGAGCTATAGTGGTTGGATTTCCATATTCTTTCACTTTGAGAATTTCCTTCAACATACTACTTTTCCCCTCCCCCCCCAAACAGGTTGCAAATTGCAGACATAGTACCAAAGAAATTAATTTTTTTTTCTGGTGATTAGAAAGAGTGAAAGTAGATTGAGCAGTTCCAGAACCATGGACCACATTGTTCAATGCTGGAATTTAAGTCCTTTTGGCCATCTCTCATTGCTCTCTCAAAAATCATAATACACACACCTACCTCAGTATGTTACAGATCTGAGAATTTTTCTACTTTAGGGGAACATGGAAAAATTCCTTTTAAATTCCTATTGACTTTTAGATTCCCAAATACCACTTCCTTGGACCAGAAACAACTGGCTGAGCCTTTGAATAATCATTGCAGCTAAAGAATCCCTCAGTAACTCACAAGTCCTTGTCTGAAAGCAGACTGCCATTATGCTTCCCCCTGACAGGAAGGCATTCCCTTACCTGACCCAGGGGTGTCTGTGAGGCAGATGATTCAACCTCATGGGTGACTCTCCCTGTCCAGACTCCCCCTGCAGCACCAGAATCCTCTGATGCAGAAATCGGCAAACTCACACTTGCCTAGAACTGGAGACAGAAATATAAACTAACCGCAGGATTTTCTTGGCAAGTAAGTCTTCAAAATAACTGCTACATCTTTTGTGAACCTCAAATGCCACTTTCAGAGAAGCTGACACCCCCCTTGCAAGGAAAGTCTGTGCAATTGCACAAAATAGGAAGTCTGTACTTCCTATTTTAGCCCCCAAAGCACGCACTTAGATGGGACTGTTAGGCTAACTGTGAAGGGAGGGAAAGGAAGTTTGTCATTGCCAATCTGTGTGCTAGCAATTACCAATCATGAGTCTTATGTATTTTAAGAAGAAAAGGACTGACTGCAGCAGAAGTAAGAAAGATGAAGAAAGAATTTTCTGTTTTTCACCCCAGTGCTGTTTCTTGCTTTACTCTAGAGTTGACAATCTTCATGGCAGGAATCCCTCTGGAATTTTGTTTGTACACCTATACTGGGGGAGAGTGAACTACCTTTATCTCTGTAACTCTTTGAGTAATATTTCTAAGTTTCTCACGTTTCAACAAAATTAATAATAAATTGTAAGTACTATAATACATAGAGCAAACATAGGAAAACTGGTGAGAGTAGTTGATCTGAAGTCATCTTACATCCAAGGCAGCCTGGTCTTTTAATCCACCCATAAAACTTAGCCTAGTAGCCTTCAAAAATAAACCTTAGGAAAGTTAGGCAGCTGTAAGGGAGAGACATGCTCAGGTTTGTGTTCTCAGGGATAAACTGTGGGGGCTCATACGAGTCCCCAGATACAGAATATAACTTCTAGAGTCTGTCTGTCCTACACTGCTACTCCACCTCTCAATCCCCATGGTACTAACCAAAACCAGTTAGCAGAGCTATTCTGTCATCAGAACTGCATCAATAAACAAGAAAAAAATAGTATAATGTGAATAAGGGAAACATGCAAAGCCAGACAAAGAATATGTGGAATATTTGGGGAAACTGTGTGTCAGAAGGTGTCCATACAAAACATGCAAACAGTTAGGGGTATATGTAACTTGGCTGCATGGGAAGAATTTATTTTGCATTGCAGTTTAAAGGCTGAGGGGGATCATCCTGCTCTGATTTTCAAAGGCGAGGTGTTTATGCTCTTCCAGCACCCTTATAAAAGAGGACAGTTGTTTCCCAGCAGACATTTTCCTTCCCTTTCCTTTCCCATTGGAAATGTTCCTCCATTTTGAGAGAGACACGCTGAGTTGCTGGTTAGATCACAGGACCTAGCTGTCAGTGAAAATCTCTGAGTGCTACTCGTTCTGTTGGACTCCAGGAAACAGTAATAAAGAATCCTGCACATTAGAAGCTTTGCAGACCATACATGCCATTAGGTTTCAAACTTACAATGCATTTTCTTATGGTATGACAACATGTAATATCACTGATACTATTACTTCATCTCCTTTCTCAACTGCATTGCTACAATGCTTCTGAAGAAGAATGTTACATTTTGTAATATTTTAGTAAAACTATGTCAACAAGTCCCCCTCCCAAAAAACCAAAAAATAACCAAAACAAACAAAAATAAACCACCACCATCAACAACAAAAAAACACTTTTACAAAAAAATTTATGAAATAATATTCAACTTTATTTGTTGAAGAATCTGATACAATAATTTCTTGATGGCTCTACTTTGAAATGCAGAGTCAGAAAGCAGAAGATAGAGAAGAAATTGCTGTTTGAGTAGATATCCTACACATTTTCCCAGAACATGAAAATAAGTAGACTGTACAATTATATAAAGGTCTACAAGGAACACCACAGATGTACTAGGTTTGATTCAGAGAATTCAATATTTTTCACTGGTCAGTGGAAAAGAAGAAAGTTAAGATGGGCTGCAATTTCTTCACTGAAATCAAAAAAAGTTTTCTTGATGCTCCTAGGACAAATTCTGAACACCCAGTCAGACTCCAACATGAGAGAAATAATTACATACTGGCACACAAACCTTCAGGTCAGCAAATGAAGATAAATTTATGGGAGCCTAGAAAAAAAAGAAAAGCTTATGAAGACATTATGAACTAATAATTAGTCTTGAGAGTGAGAACAGAGACTAGAGCAGGTCTGGGGGCTCAGGAGACATCTATTGCAGGCTGACACTGATAAGCTTTGTGAACATGGCCCATGATTTTATTTCTCTATTCCTCACCTTCTCTGGTCTCTATGTAGATGTCTCTATTGCAAATGAGTGTTAAAAAGCTGAAGAAGTTAACTAAGTAAAGATTTTACAGAGAAAAATAATATATTACTAAAAATTACTAATTTCAAGGACACTTCAAAGACATATTGAAGGAAACTGCCTGCAGAGAGGGATATTTATATAGCACTTACCCTGCTCCTACTGTTTGAGTAGCTCCTGTTCCTGGGCTGGTGTTGTAGACACCCAAGTCATCTTTGTGAGTGATGTGCAACTTCCAAGGAAAAAAGTGCTTCTCAGAGGGACTTCTTCTGCTCTGAGACACCATGAGTTCAACATCCTGATCCGAGAGCAAGCGGATCAGATCGCCATCGGGGTCCCGGTAATTCAAAACAATGTCATCCTGGTTAAACTCCTGCCTGGGAGAAAAGAAATGGATTGATCCCCAGAAATCAAGGAATGCCTGGGAGGTGCTGCATGATGAACAATATACTGACAATCTAATTAATTTTGATAAAAGCCGCACAAAGCCTTGAGCATCTTGGCTTTCTTGATACAGCTAGTACTAGAAATCATATAGCCACATTCATGCTGTGTTGTGTTTAAGCTAAGAAATCTATCAGAACCAAGAACCATTTCCAGTAACACCACATAAATGGCACAATTAATCTGTGTGTTTGATAGAATTACCATGCAAAACAGCTGACTGTTGTTACTACCCCCTTTTGCCTACTTATTTTTGCTCTTTCTGAGGAGTGCAAGAGTATTAGAACAGGTGTTGTATTACCAATATTTAACGTTCTAAATTGTTGATGTTAAACACCAGATTAATCTAGTTTAACACTAGTTTAGCAATTGTTAGAAGGCCATGTCCTACATCTTGAAGAAATGTACTAGTCAAAAGATGCTTTTATGGGGGTATTACTCCTATCTTAGTACAAGAAATGGGAATTTCTACCCATCACAATTGAGTCAGAGGTGTGTGTCATTCCTTACTCACTGACAGTCTCAAGAAGGACTAGTGTCTACATATATGGCCCTGGGCCAAGTCAAAGTGCAACTTCTTCAAAACACTTGAAAAGTATTTAATACACAAAATATGGTGATGACCAAGTAGAATGTGGAAAATCTCAAACTGGAATGAACCTGACAAATGTTTAAGTATCAAATATACAACCAAGTGCTTGCATTGTACCTCATCAATTCCATTAGATCTTTGAATGATGGAATGCTGCTCAGATCTTCTTCCACTGAGATATCTCTGTGTATAGAACACATCTAATCATTACATATCGTGACAAGAGAATTGTTGGTGTTTCTTCAGCAGTAAGCTAGAAGAGTATTTTGTTACTACCTGATAGTGCTCACAGTCCCATCATAGTAATAACAGCGAACTTTATTAACTGTGTCTTCCTGCTGTGGTAAATCTTTTATGATCTTCACAAAAGCACATGGGAAAATCCCAGTGGCACCATCAGCAGTTCCCTGGAATGACAGGAAATGTTAGAATCAAGAAAACCATGCCATTTTGGCCACATGCAATAGGTTCTGGAATTAAATTACTTTACATAGAAACAACAGTAAGAATTTTTCCACTATAATCAAGAAAATAAATTCTATGGAAGTGACCTGATGGCACCCCTACAAAAAGATTATAGAATTACATAGTCAAATACCAGACAGAGGAGTGAAACAGTGTGTAAAAAATTAAAGTCAGACGGTTAGCAAGGAAGGCTGTGGTGTTTGAACAAGCACAGATATCATATCAGCAAACACACAGTATGTTCCCCTCATCCTATTTTCAGAACACTGCTGCATTACCCAAGTTCTCTCTAATCAGGCTGACGTGTGTTGTGGTATGAGGCATGAAGCATACATCAACTCACCCTGAGGCAAGAAAACAATTAATCGCTGAAATGGAGTTTCCATCTCCTTTCTGTGGCCTTTCTGTGTTCTAGTCACTTCCAAAGAATTTAAAAACATTCCAGCAGAAGCAAATGCAAATAAAAACTGAAGTCTGGAGGGCAGAAAATTTGTAAGCTAAAAACCATCAAGCAACCAAACAATTACTAATTTGGAATCTAGGATTTATTCTTGACAAGAAGACCTGGTTATGATACAGTTTCTCCTTGAGAGGAAGAGGCAGGTCACAAGGATCAGGAGAGCCCTTTCTACTCATATATTTCAAGGTATGCTAATAATTCAGCACTGCTTTTGCAGTCTTACCTCCAGCCAGTCTTTGTTTACTTTGCTGAGGAGATAGATCAAATCTCCCTTCTTGAAGCTGAGTTCCAGTTTATTGGTTCCAGGAAAATCAAACAGTGCCTGTGGAAAGTAATAACCTCAAAATTAATTCACAGAATTACAAAAGCAAATCTTTCTGTTGTGTTCTTCAAGAGAAAGCATAAAGCAGCAAGACAGTGTGCACTTTGTCATTGCATATGCATTTCTGGGATAAGGTCACGTATATTGGACCTTAGTCTGCAGTTCTCACAATCTCTTCTCCTGCTCAGCACACACAAAACTGCTTTGAAGAAGCAGTGAAAGCACTAGGATAAACATGGCCCTGAGAGAGCTACATACTAACATTCTTAAGGGGGCAGAACACTGAGCACTAGAGAAATAAATATACATAAGTTGAAAGCACTTAAGAGCAAGTAAGACAACAGAGCTGAAGCCAACTGACAGCTTGAAATCCTGAGAATTGAAAAAATGTATTATTTCTCGTTGCAGCTTTACAGCTTTTAGATTTGCTGCAAAATATCGCAAAGAGCCTTTTAAAATTGCAGAAATGTTGTGTCTTAATTCGAGGGTAACTAACTGTTGCTTTTACATCTAGCTTTCAGGTCTGTATGCTGAACTGGGAGATTTGGGAAAGCCTGGGAAATTGATGTGTTGTTAAAATGGAACTTAGATGCCCTCTTCAGGGAAAAAAAAAAAAAAAAAAGGAGACAAATACATGCTACCACCCTAACAAAAGGTTGGATAGTTGAAGTGGCTGAGTTATCAGAAATTTATATCTTCCCCATTGTCCTTAGAGAACATGGTACCCATTTAAATAGTCTTAGAGGAGAAAAAATGAAAAGGTGTTCTTTATTCTGTGTTGCAATGGTTCATTTGGTCTTGTTAATGCTAAGAGTCCTCTTAATAAAAGAAACAAACAAAACAATGGCTACTGTTGTGCTGGTGTTTCATACGTCTGCTTAATAGCTCTTTCAAAAGCCTTTTTTCACCAATTGAAAAGTTCTGATAAGTATATTCAATATTAATAAATTAATAGATTCAACCCAAGAGATATGACTGTTCCAAGACCTGTCATTCTCTGTGTAAAGAACAAAACCAACAAACCTCAAAGCAGATGCATGGGGTTTTTAATCTTATATGGCAAAGTCACATGTTTCAGGAAGCAAGACCCTGCTCAGACAAATACTGGTTTCAAAGCAGGCTCATATGCTTAAAACTGAGCAAATATGCCCCAAAAGACAAGAGTATGGGCATTTTTCAGTAGAACATTTATGTTACAGAAAATACGAAGATGCCTCACCTGCAAAGTTTTTAAACATATGCTGAAGTCAATGAAGTTGAAGCTTATGCCTGCTTTAGATTTAACTTATGGCTAGCACTATGCAAATGGGGACCATTTGGCAGTAAGCTGTACATGTCTCCGTTTCGAATCTCCTGTCATTCTTATTTCACCATGGACTTTCTTATTACTCAAGTGATGAGGAACAGAACACCTCTTTCCGTCCTTTGTTTCATTCCCTGTTGTTAAAATCAATTGTTCTTCTCTGTTGATTTCACTTTCTTCCCCTACACTCTAATTGAAAAAGGCAACTTGATGGATGAGGTAGAAAAGAAAAACAGAGTTTAATCTCCTGTCCTATGACAGGTTGTGCAGAGTACTCACCTCAGCCCGCGGAGCTGCCGTGCGGTCAAAAATAGGCACCTGATCTGAAATGCTCTTACTGCAAAGAAATGAGACAACAGGGAGGTAAACATCCTTCTAGGTCATTAAAAATGCTACACAGTCAGTAGTGCAGTGTCTGTGTTTTTACTGTTTAAGGGGCATGTAAGCCACAGATCACTGGAGAAACTGTATGGGAATCTGTGTGTAGCACTGAAGTAAATAAATTCGGATGCAACAACACTGTCCTAGTTCTCTTGGTTTCAGTGCAGAGCAGCAGCAATCTGATGGTGTCTGCTGCTGAGAACAGATGGAATTTTCAATACAGTCAGTATTCTGGACCTCTCTTCCACAGCACTGTTCAGTCCCCCTACTCTGCCTTCTGGGCATCATTGTTTCTAGCATTTATAGCATTTAGTTCAAACTCTGCCATCATGTACACATGCAGTTTTTGCACTGTTTGAGGTAGGTGAAAAGGAAGCGAGTCCATCTTTAGAATGCTGAAAGGAGAATTAATTTATCTCAAGGGTAATGAAGGATGAGGTCTACTTAGCAGTTCTCCAAAGGGGTGTCAATGCTGCTACGTAGGACAGGCCCCTGTTTAGACAACAGACAGGAACAAATTAAGTATTCAGTTTCATTTAGTGTCTGAATCAGATCTCACTGAATTCAGTGCCAAAACTCACATTGACTTCAGCGGTGTAAGCCTATGTCCTTAAGCTTGGCCTGTATACTCTGCACATTGTAATAGAGATTACCAAGAAATATAGGCAGATAGAGATGGACAGTATCTTTAAAAAGCAAGATATACTCTCATTTTGGAATTTTCCTTTAATGCAAGTACCACATCCACTTCAAAAATCTGAGATTACTGAAAACAAGAAATACTCTGCGTTCATTCCACCACAAAGACCCTCATAATTAGGGATTCATGGATTCACTTGGAAAACACAGTGGTGATCCTCATCTCTCTCCCCCCACAAAACTGGACAGCATCTCTTACATCAAGCAATGCTGAAAAAAACATGTCAATCACTTACACTCGGCGTGTCCGTGGGCGAAGCCGTCTCAGTCTGTGAGGCACCTGCTCACCATCAAAGGTTGAGTGGTAGAAGAACAGCCTTACATCCTCATCCATCAACACCCAAGCAGGGAGGCAGAGTAGGTTCTGTGCCAAGAGCAAGCAGGAAGCAGAGTGTAACAGTGGGAGAGACCAATTCTCTATTTATTTACATGTTACAAATATGCCTCTCTGACCTACAGGATCACGAAGGATATTCATTACTGCCAGAAATCTCCCTCCTCTCCCTTCTCACTCAGCAGGACACAGCTGAACAGCTGACAGTCTCTCCTCTTTATTCCTGGAGTTGGCCAATGTATTGCTTCACTCTTTTTGTACCTGATTTACTGCAGGAATAAATTGCTTTTGGTGTTTCTCTTCAGAACTGAAGAGAAATGAATTACTGTGGAAAGAAGGCAATCTTAAGTAGTGGAAGTCTTGGCCAGTGCTTCAGACTTTTACTGAGTTGAAGTTCAGGCCTTCAGTCAACCTGCACACCAAAGAGATCTCTCCTTGTTCTATTCTGCATCTTCACTGTAGTTCAGGTACTCTCAGAAGCTTACCTGTCCTGATTCTGGGTGTGACAGAGTTCCGTTTTCTTCTCAGTAGCTGGTAAGGTGCTGTGTGTTGGATTTAGCATGAGAATAAAGTTGATAACGAACTAGTGGCTTACTTAGTCCAAGCCAAGGGCTTTTCTGTTTCCCAAGTCCTGCCAGTGAGGAGCTGAACAAGAAGTCAGGAGGGAGCATGGCCAGGACAGCTGGTCCAAACTAGCTAAAGGGATATTCCATGCCATAGGACATCATGCCCAGTATGTAACTGGAAGGAACCCAGGAACCACTGATCACTGCTCAGTGGACTGGCTGGGCATCAGTCAGCAGGTGGTGAGCAATTGTATTGTGCATCATTTGTTTGTTTTCTCTAGTTTTATTTCTCTCTGTCTTTTTGGTTACCTCCCTTCTAATTACAATGAGTTATTAGTATTGTATTTTACTTTATTTCAATTATTAACCTGTTTTTATCTCATCCCATGGGTTTTACCATTTCCCAATTGTCCTCCCCATTCTGTGGCACTTAGATGGTGGGTGGGGTTAAAGCACAACCCACACACCCACTCCTAATCCCTTAGATGCACACACCAATTCTGTATTCATGCAACACCTGGAGATTCATCATTTCCTCATACATCTTGGGGGTTTCTGGTAAGGTTCTCTGCTGTATATGAAGACAGAGAGTGAGCCTTTGTGAACTGCATACTCCAGCAAATCCTACAGTCTGAACAACGCGGGGAGGAGGACTTCAGGTTGTACCACAGTGTGGGCACTGTGTCTTCAGGAAAGCAGTACAGAGAGAAGCAGATACTTGGAACTCTAACAGTACTGTCTGTCTTAGCTGTTTTCAATAGCTAAGTATCTTCAGCCACCAATGCATTCTTTAGTTTAAAATTAAGTTTTACCTTTATGTAGACATTTAGGATAGGAATCCTGCTCTCAGCAATTTCCCTTTTGGCACCAACAAAAACTTTTCCTGGAAAATATAAAACCTGTGACAGTTACTAAAGGAAAAAAAAAATAAAAGAGGCTGTCAGAGAAATGAAGCAATCAGAAGGAAGTAGAAGCTAAAAAAATTACATATTTTCTAAAGGATTTACCACAAGTGATGGGACTGTCAATGGAACATGACTTCTCTGGCACTCATAGCTAGGAATTGGTTCCTTGTCACAACTACTTCACTCACTGCATTCCTCTTTAGGACAGCCTGGAGCTGAGAAAGCTGCTAATTATGCAAAGGTTCGGTACTGACAGCTTACCTGGCAGTACAGGGAGTGTGCAGGTGAATGGGCTGTTACTGCTCTCTGAGCCGTATCTCTCCTCTAGTTTGGTGTGAAGGGCATAGAACTCGCGATAGCGCCGGAAAATCAGGTATCTGCCACCACCTTTAAGCTTTACTTCAATGACAAACATCTGAAACAGAGAAGAGGGATTCAGGCTGATGTTCATACTTATAAATACTCACCAAATGAATGTGAGGAATAAAATAGGAACACAAGATCGGTGCTCCATTAGTGGGAATATTCTCTTAGGAGCAGAGAGGAAAGAAAGCCTTCAGTTAAGCATCTGCAAATTCAGGAAATAGGAAATAGGAAATAACAAGGGAGCACCAGTGTGGTATTTGTGTGGGTCCAGCTTGCATACGAAGCATGGCTGCTTTATATTATATAATCTTAAAAGGAAACATGAAATTACTATATTCAGCTTTATCCTTGCACACTTTCCCTCAGTAACAAACAAATTAGGTACACAAATACAAATATTTTAGAATAAGATGCCTTGGACATCTAAATCTAGAGACAGACACATCTAAATGCATTGATTTTCAGAATTGAAGGTTTTCATACTTCTTTTTGGCTTTAATGTACACAATTGCAGAAATTATGGTCTGACCTCCTTCAACCACTATTTTATTTGTCCCTTGACAAAATTTCTTTGCACTGACCTCTGAGTCACATGGCAGCCAGATCCTCCAGCAAACATAAAGATAGGGCAACCAAACATCACTCTATTCCAGAATAAAACCTGAATACTGCAGTGGGAAGGTTTTTATAAACAATGTCTTCAGCAGAAGTCAGACTGAGCTGCTCATATTCAAACCTTCAGAAAATATTAGTGCCTTTCCCTGTGTGGTCTTTCTTGTCTTAATATGCCACCTCCTGTGAAGATGGGAGCATCCTAACTTGCCAGTACCATGGAATAATGAAGCAAGACTCTGCCTTTCTACCCTCTGAATTATTTTCCCATTATCTTCAACAGTACAGCACTCCAACAGGAGACAAAAAAGATATTAGGAAATAATTATGATGTTAAAGGATATCGTCCACATTTCATTCAGAAAATAAATTTTTAGACTGATTCTGGGATAACTATACTCCATTCCAGAAAAATAAAGCACTGAGAAGTCTTCCACATGGAATTACTCATGCCGAAAAACAATTACACCAGATTAATTGCATTTTGCTTCCCACAACAAAACCAGTCACAGGTGAAGGTACATATAGGCAGGAAAAATCTCCCTTCTTACATAGTAATTAGTAAAGCCTTTCTTCTCTTCAATATCTGCAATGTTAGCTGAAACAGGTACATCATCTGGAAGTTGGTCAAAATCACTGTAAAGTAAGAACAGAAGATATAGGTTATTCATACTGGTAATAGTCTTTGAGACACATAGAGCAAAGATAGGCAATATCACATTTTCTAGTACAAAAATCAAGATGTTAGATGCTCATGGTGTCATTCTCTTCCTCTGGAGGTTTGATTTTGAGATGTCAAGTTTCAATAAGTTCAGCATAAGTCAGTGACCATTGTGAAGATTCATCATGCCTGAAAAATTCCCCTCTCATTCCTAGGCTTGCTAGGACTACAAAACATACACTTGAACTGCTAAGCTTTTCCTGAGAAATGTGATCAGCTGTGGATGCATCCTTAATCCTTCCTTAATCTAGGAGATTTATAATAAGAACTCTGCATCAGTAGATCTTATTCTAAGGAGATCACAATATATCATTATTTATGCTGCTATTATTACTGCATTACTGTAGGGAATAGAAAACAGTTCTGAGAAAAGAGCTTGTTATGCAAGGTGCTGTAGAAACTGACAGCACAAAGCTAAATCCTAAAAACTTTATACTCCATGCAGGATATGTAAAATGTACCACATACATATAAGAAAAGAAACAACAGGATAAGCACAAAGAGAAAAAGAACAAAGAAACAAAAGCATAGTATTGTTCTATATCAAAACTAGTGGTGCCTACACCAGCTGTCAAAATGTTGTCAAGTTTTCTTGTAAACATCACAATAAAGCAAACTCTTAAAGAGGCTTGGAAAAAAAAGAGTAGGCTATCAAATATTTGGAGAGAGACCTCCCAGTACAGCAGGTAAGATTCATCACAGAATAACAGAATATCTGGAGTTGGAAGGGACCAACAAAGATCATCCAGTCCAACTCTTAAATGAGTGGCCCGCACAGGGGTCAAACCTTGGCATTTATCTGGCAGTCACAGCAGATAGCCTGAAGCAAGCACGAAGATATTTGTTTGAAAATGTCAAAAATGTGTGAAGGAACACATGGAAGTAGGCAAGGTAAGAATAAGCTTTGCAGATCCTAGAAAGAATTGGATTTGAAGTGAGAAGGAAGGATCCCTGCAGGAACACCTAACGAGCAGCCATATGACCACAGTCATAGTCACTGGTCTATACTGTCCACACAACAAAAAGCATGGATTGGCAGGTGCTCTTTCCTCTGTGACCTTCTCCTTGGGGGAACAGCTTTGACAAGTAACAGGCATTCATCTTTGCTTCAGTCTTATAACTCAGTGTGGTTAGAGGGGTATTTATATTAACACCTGAGTAAAAAGCATCCAGAACGAGGAAAAAAATTATAACAAATGAGATAGAGACTTTTAAAAGGATCATCTAAGAAATGCCGAGCTGACAGAATATGAAATATTCTGATAATACAAAAAAAAAGTGGTAGTTGTCTCAGTTTATTCTGCTAGGAGAATATCCCAAGCAGGGACTTCCAGAAGGTGTCGCCCATTTGAAATGCTGAAGTAATGATGCAACACCCTGCAATAGTTTTCTGTACGAGGAGAATGCCGTGAATCAGCACCACCCACAATACCGTAAATACTACCCCTTACTGTGAAGAGGGATGTGGTTATGGAGACCAAGAGATATAATTAGTCATATTACAAACACTTGTATCATAAACTCCAGCAAAAGGGAAACTGTTCTGCAGCTATAAAGAGAACAATGACCCACTATGTCCCAGGTGGTGAATATTCCTCACAAAAAGAAGAAAGTCCACTCCAGCATAAGAAATGGTCTCCTCGACCATAAACAGCCCAAGAGTGTGGAAGTTACAACAAGAAGAAGCCTTTTAGAATCACCAAAGATGCTTGTATCCAAATTAACCAAATAGATCACAGGAGTTACATGGGGCTCGTGGGAAGGCTGGAGCAGGGAGAGACACATTACCTCTTTTCTCGCAGCTGTCGGGGAAGAGACATGGTTCTTCTTAAATCCAGATGACTAAGATCTATTCCTCTACTTCTTGGGCAGTTCCTGGTTTAATAGGATGAACACAAGCTCAAAGTAATTCTCCCTGCATGAAACAAGACTCCTTTGCAAGGCCTCAGAGATCTTTTTTTAATGTTTCAGTGTCAGACGATTTCTGCTGTACCTCCCCACCCCCACGAGTTTGAGGAAGTACCAGGGGAAAACAGTAATAAAGAGAGACTGTTCTGTGATGTCTGTCATGTCTCAAAACTGCCACAATTGAGAAACTGAAAGCCCAAGAAAAAGAAGAAACTATGAGCCACATATTCCATTGCCCACCCTCCACTGAAACATTTGCCTCTGTTGAAAGCCAGTATGAGTGGGCTCAGCAAAGCCTGTTTTGCCTCAGCTAAAATGTCCCCATATACACCTCTACATTAATACTTGTAAACTAGGATAAATACTTCTGATCCCTTCTTGAGGCTCTGTGATTCCCAAGGATCCTCCTTTTCACAGACCAAGAGCCAGGAGGTGGAGCTAAAGAATAAATTTTAAAATGGGAGCAGAATGCATCATCAAAAAAATCAGCCTTGTCAAACACCAGGGCATTGGGCACAGAAGATGAGATTTGAAGGATGGATCAATGAAAGTAAGGCAGGAGTCCTTTAAAGGCCAGAGATCTTTTCGGCTTCATATGCTCAAAACAACCCACACTTGCCAGGCACAAAGACAAGGTAATGGCTCACCCTGGCTTGTACTCAAACTGCAATGACGAAGCATTTATATAATATCACTTGACAATCTTTCAGGAAGAAAATAAAAGGAAGAAAATGATGAGGAAACCACGATTTCGTAACAATATGGCTAAGTTGTAACACAGCTTATTGCCTTAGTCAAAAGCTGTTACATGCATCCTTGCCTCTCCATTTCAGTATTTGACTCTCTTCCATTTCTGTGTTCAATACATATTTGCCTCCTTCTCATTCTTCCGCTGCCAAGAACAAAAATTCCCATCTGAATGGAGCAAAAATCAACCAGCATCCTTCAAAATAAAACTCTATTTACAACTGTAATCATCAGCCTTGAGAGTAACTGCATTGCATTGCATTTTAATGAAGTAAATCCTTCACCCATCTCCTTTCCATGGATAACTCTAGGCACCATGATAGAATTTGAGAGGGGCTATAGGGTCTCCTGATCAAAAAGGACCAGGAGAACCAGAAAAATTCTGAGGTGTATTTTCTGATTGATCTGCTACTCTGCTACATATCATAGCTTTGACAAGAAAATAATTGGAAGGGTATCCTAATTTTTTTCAAATGTCCTGAAAGATAATCTAGATATAATGCAAGTACATCTTTTAATAGACAGAGGATATGACACAATGCAAAAATACATGTTCATTGTTTTTCTAGGGACGTGACTTTTTGAAAACAAGTCGACAGAAACTCTCAGACAAATTTTCTATGCATCTGCTTTGCTGTAAGATGAGTAAAGCAAACTGAAAGCAGCTCAATTCCACTCTCTACTAGAGATTACAGCTAGTAATAATACTAACCTGGCAGAATAATGCTAAGCCTACTAAGAATGTTTATGATTCTGCAGTATTTTCTTGTTCTGAACTCAACCAGAAAAATGGTTTGCTTTTCTGACAAAAGGGAGATTCCTACCTCAGAAGAGTGGATAGCTGATTGGTTAGAGGGATCACCAAGGCTGTGAGACTAAGACTGGAAGCACTGCTTTGTCATGTTCTTCTGTACCAAATCAGACCCTCAACTACATGTTTTCTTTCCATTTCTAGTGTTTTGCTACTATAGTAGAAATAAAAATTTCTATTATTTGGGCTGAGAAAATAGGCTGTCTCTAACCAAATACACATCCTTTCTCTGTTCAAATAATTATCTGATGAATGAAATAAATATCCATTACAAAACTGATATCCTAATGACAGTACCTATGTCAAGAGATCTGCCTGCACTAGGAAAGTACCCAGTTTCATCAGCTGACATGGCCAGCTCTCAGTTTTGAGAAAACCCATCCATATACTATGGCTGGCATGGTCATTGTGGCAATATGCACCCACCCAAATACATGTGCAAGAGGAAACAGGAATTCATCCAAGGAATACAAAATAAAAATTGGTTCATTAAAGGAGACTACTAAGAGAATCCTCAGATGACTGAATCATGACCATATGCTGCCACCACTCTATGCCTCTTCACAGTTCACAATCTACTCTATTATTTTGGACATGCCTGTGAGCTGTGAAACTGTGGCCTTCTGTCCAACGCACCTGTTGTTAGAAAACACACGTACAAGGATACATAGCGCCCTGGAAATCTGACAGTGTCAGCTAGAACCAAACAACCAAAGCTCGTGAGGAATTTTAATGAAAAGTAGGAATGTAGTCCCAAATCACTAGAGAAACATGAACCACTAACAAAAGGTTAACCAAAAAATGTAGCAGAAATACTCAGCTGAATCAAGTTTGGATGACAGCACTACATAACACATCTGCTAGGGCAGCAGCTACTGGATCTTTTGCATGTCTCTACAGAATAATGGCTTTTCTCTGATGCCCCTGACCTTACAAAAGTGCTGTGCAGTTATGCTCAATCACCAGCCACAGAATAAATCTTTCAAGTGATAGGAGAAAGTGAACAACAATAATATTGTTAAAAGATGCCTGATCTCATCACAGACTAATCTGCAAAGGAAATAACATTTAGCCAGCACTGCAAGGAAGCTGAACATCAAATAGAAACACATACAACAGAGTTGGTTTGCAAAATACTTTCATTCAACCTATTGTTTTCAAAGGATATGTGGAATATTTGTTCCTGTAGAATACACATCGTTAGCAGTTGGATGCCTTGACTCCTGTGGTTGCTTGAGACTGAGCTGCAACTGTAATAACACTGACTTGGGAAGTGTTTGGGGATCTTTTCCATTTTCCTTTAATAATATTTGTACAGACCACCAGCTTTACAGAATGCTTTAATAGACTTTTACAATATTTATTTTCAAATACAGCCATGTATAAAACAGCTACTATTTTTATTATAGCACATGAATAATTAATTACAGTTCTGTAAAATTTCTGGACAAAAATCACATTAGATAAGCTACTCATGTCTGTCCTGCAATCTTTGGAGCTCTTTTGCAGGTAGTGTTACAAAATCCTTAGGAGGCAGTGGGCACAATGATAAGTAATACGACCATTTCTTTCCTATATGATTTCAGGACAGTTGAAAAAAAAAGTTAAAAAAAAAAATTTTTAGTTGTCCTATCTTCCTTGACTTGAAACTTTGAAAAAAAAAAAAAAAAAACCAAAGACTGCGTAAGTTGACAGTTGGGCTAATTGATTTTATATTCTTCATTTGATAATGGCTATATTCATAGTACCTGAATGTATGGATATTCTCCCTGTCATGCATTGTGTCGGGATTATAAAAGTCACAGGAGTATGGATTGATAGAATTTGGAACTCTGCTTTGAATTAAATCTGGACACAGTTTCCATGACTGCCTTTTTAGGGTAAAAAGTAGCTAGTAGGTATGTGCAGAAAAAGACTCTTTCCATGCCCTGCTGATATAAACACAACAAAATAATCCATCTTGGACTAAAGAAATTTAAAGGTCAGCATCTAACACTGTTCCTGACAGTGAATTTAATGGTGTCATTTCCAGAATAAATTATTACTCAACATGGAATAGCTTTACATAATCAAATGTTAAAGAAAGAGCAGCATTTTTAAAAATTACATTCTTCTCAGAACATCAAATTAAATCATACACCTGAATCTGGGCTTTTTCACCTCTACTGCTTGAGCAAAATATGGAATAAGTATTGTAAGAAAAAAAGAAAAAACACCCCAAAAAGTGGGGTTTTTCTTTTGATACTATCAGTATTTTGGAAATGTGCAATCAACAGTACTATTCTGAGGTTTGATAGTTCAAGATTCAATAGACAGATCTTGCCAGTTTTCTTATGCAGAACAATATCACAAGCAGCATTATGATCTTCCTCTCTGTGGAAAACAATTCTTCTTTTAAAATAAACCTGCTTCCTTTAAAAATATTTCTAAAATACACTTAGATGGGAAGAGTCGAAGGAACTTCTCCATGAGCAACGGAACTTTTTGTTCTTGAAGAGCTTGGATGGATATTTGATGCCCAGGACTAGACTAAGTGAGAAAAATGGAAGCCCAGAAACAACAAGAGAACATTTCTTCATCCAGATGACATATCACTTCCTGGATAAAAGAGGCAAATAAGGAAGAAATAGAGCAGAGCCTGTCACTGCTATTGTGCATGACAGATGTTGGCTGGAGGTGGAGCCCTGTGCTCCAGTCAACTTCATCAGTGAGAAAATCTGACAACTGGCCACTGCAGACAAAGAAGCAGGAAAGTTCCATTCAAGCACTCCTGAAAGAGCTATGCCTACAACCACCCCTCCAGAACTTTAAAACCTAGTTTTAGTACACAGCAGCAGTGCAGCTTTGTGGCAGAAGGGTTTTTGTGTTTTAAGTCTCCTAATCATCTTGAGAAGCAAAAATCTGACAGAGTTATTGCTACTCAAGGCAAAGAAAATTCTGTTTCATCAATTTCACAAGTTAAAAGATTTGTTAAAATTACTCAAAAAATGTCATTGAACTTCCCCAAATGGCAAAAGAGGGTTGGGATTTACTAGAATTTGTGCAGCGATGCATTCAAATCAACCTACACTGTTCCTAACAGTTTAATTTCCCCATTCATTTGAAGAAATCCTGTGACCAAATTCCTTTTACCTTATTAAGAAACCTTAGATAAGTGCATGAAGGTAAGTGAAATTTTCTGAAAAGTGAAGAAAGACAGGTACCACTGACCAGTAAACAGGACCTCAAGTGGGCCAGTTCTCCCTATGAAGGTTTTATCTGTCTCCTAGGAATATACAGGAATTATGAAATGGCTGTATTCCCAGTTTTGTCACCTCAGGTTTCTAACGGTAAGGTAATAAATCTGTCCCTTACTGTGGACCTAGTTATTACTGGTACAAAGGTACCTTCTCATTCGGGACTCAGCTATATTTGGATATGCACTTTTACACTGGTATAATTGTCTTTACCCTAGGGGAGTTGTACTACTTAAGATACACTGATATAGTCAAAGAAGCACAATTTTCTGGTGCAGAAATATCCAGTCTGCTCCT